TCAGCTGGAGCCTGACCTCAGGGGGATGAAATCAGCTGAATTCCAGGGAACTCTGCCAAGTGTCCCCCAGGGACATCAGTGGGGCTGGGGGATGAGGATTATAAATAGCAAGTTCTATGGAATATAAACCTGTCCTTGTCCTGGTCTCAATGAGCTTCCCTGGAACCTCTGCTGGCTCCTGACACAGCTGGTGTAAAAGTGGCAGCTCTGCATGGGAATGTCCACACTCCACAAGGCACTGTCAGGTTATTCCAGCAGGAATTCAGCAGGGAATCTGGGACTGTGGATATAATTCATGTGAAGTAGCAAAGCTGATACCGAACCCCAAATCTGGGCACCACACAGAGAACAATCTTTGTGCTGCCCTGTCAGTTAAAGTTTGCCTCAAAAATATTCATTCTTTCACCTGCAAGTTAACTCTGATTTTATGGCCAAAAAGTCCATTTTCTCCCCAATGTATTACTGAGATTTTTTTTAAACCAAAAAACACACAGGTTCTGTCTTATCTGCAAAATCTTTGTGTGTCCCCTACAAATTATGTCAGATTTTTTTCTCTAAAATACTTCTCACCCTTACACATTATTGCCCAAATTTTCCCATGTCCACTACTTATCAACTTATTTTACCTCAAAATGTTTCTTCTTTCACCTAGAGATTACCTAAAGGTTTACCCCCAATTTTCCCTTTTCTGTCCACTACAAATTAACTCATTTTTCCCTTGAGATGTTAATTCTCTGCCCTACAGATTACTGCAAGTTTTACCCCAAATATTTTCCCTCCCTGTCCACTACTAGTTGTTGCCTGTTCACCTCAAAATATTAATTCTCCATCCTGGAGAAAATATCACTTTCTACACCCAAAATTTTCATTATGTGTCCACAAGTGATTACCTCTGTTTTCATTCTCTTCCCTGGGGATTATTTCACATTTCCCCTCCAGATTTTCCCTGTCTGTCCACTTCTGCTTCCCTCATTTTTTACAAGCAAGTATTTATTCTCTACTCTGGACATTACCTCACTATTTCCCCCCAGTATTTTCCCTACCTGCCCAATTCTGTTTACCTCCTTTTTACCTCAAAATATGCATTCTTTGCTCCACAGGGTAACTCAGATTTTATGTATTTTTAATATCCATTTTGTACATTATACACTAACTAGATTTTAAAACCAAACCCACACAAGTTATGTCTGCCTTATCCCCAAGATGTTCATTCTGCCCCCTACACATCACATCAGAGTTTTTCTTAAAAACATTTATTGTTCTGACATATTATCTCAGGGTTTGCCTGCCACCTGCATGTCCACTCCCAATCATCTCCTTTTTACCTCAATATGTCCATTCTCTGCCCTACAGATTTTCCCAAGTTTTACCCCCCAAAATTTCCTTGCCTGTGCCCAGTGCCTGCCTCAGTTTATCATTGTTCACTCTCTCCCCAGAGGTTTACTCAAGTTTTCTAAAGAAAAATTTTCTTTACCTATCTACAACATATTACCTCATTTTTAACTAAAAATATTCATTGTCAAAATTTAGATTATTTCAAACTTAGCCCCCAAAATTCCCCTGCCTATCCACTATGGATTCCCTCAGTTTTACTTCCATACTGATTTTCTACCATGTAGCTTTTCTCAGTATTTACTCCCCCAATTTTCCATCTGCCTGGTACTGATGACCTCATTTTTACCTCAACATGATCATTCTCTGCCCTACAGATAATTTCTTATTATTTTTACCCCCCAAAATTTCCCTACCTGCCCATAAGTGATTCCCTCATGCTACCTTACTCTGTTTGTGCTCTCACCTGGAGATCATCCCAGTTTTAACCCCCAAATTTTTCTTACACACCCACTACTCATGACCTCATTTTTGCCTCAAAGTGTTTGTTCTCTGCTCTAGAGATTTTAGTCCAAAATTTTCCCCACCTGTGCACTTCTGAGTATCTCATTTCTACCCCAAAATATTCATTCTGTCCCCTACAGATTACATCAAGTTTTACCCCCAAAATTTTCCTTCCTGTAAAATATTGACTCCTTCTCTTCCCTAAACATCACCTCAGCTTTTCCTCAAAATTATCCCCATATTTAGTCCCTGTAGATGACCTCAGGTCTTCCCCAAACTCTGCCATGGATTACCTCCATTTTGTCTCCAAAGTGTCCCTCTGTTCCCCTCAGTGCCCTGGTGACACCAGGGAGGTCCCTTTGCCTTTCTCCTGCCCCTCTCCAGCCCGAGGTCGCTCCTCTGCTTCTTCTCTCTGCCCTTGTTCCACACAGAGGGGCACAAAAGGGGAAAGGTTTCAGAAAAAATTTCTACTATTAATTAATAATTATTTCCAGTTCCCCAGTGAGAAGAACATGAACTCACAGCCATCAAGGCCTGGC